GCCGCTCTCCCTGCAGAGAATTCAGGCACAAGATCAACATCACCTTCAACAACAACGACACGGTGTCCTTCCGGGAGCACCGCAGCTTCCAGTTCCAGCCCGCCAAGTCCCGAGGCTCCGAGAGCGACTACATCGTCCTGCCCAACATCCTGGTCCTGGTGAGGCTGCTGGCCGGGGCCCTCTTCCCGGGAACGTGCAGGCGCTGACCGGAGGGGCACTGGGTACAGGTGGGAAAACAGGGTGCCTGGATCCGCGCTGGCTCCTCCTCTGGCCGACCTGCCCCTGGGGTGGTCAAGGCCAGGGTCAAGGCCAGCAGAGGGGACCCACCACTCCCAGGCCCTCCTGGGCTTGGCTTCCCCCTGGCGGGGCCGTGTGCAGCCCTGACGCGGTGTCCGTCCCCGGGGTCTGCAGGGTGCTGCGATGATGATGGAGAACAGGCCCATGAGTCTGAAGCTGATGATGACCTTGGCGTTCAGCACCCTGGGGGAGCGAGCCTTCATGAACCGCACCGTGGGCGAGATCATGTGGGGCTACGATGACCCCCTCGTGAATCTCATCAACAAGTACTTCCCAGACATGCTCCCCTTGAAGGGCAAGTTCGGGTTGTTTGCTGAGGTAAGTGTGACCCACGCAGCTTGGAAACCGGTGACTGGCTGACTTTGCAGCTGGCTGGGTAGAGACTCTGACGGATGAGTGTCAGCGAAATAGGGAATTTACTGACTCACGCAATTGAAAACTCTCGGGGGTGAGTTCAGGTACAGCTTGATCCAGGCTCAATGATGGGATTTGGGGCTCACTCAGCTTAGGAAATTGGAGGCTTTGCTGGAAGAAATGGGAATGATTGCTGGGGAGACAGATCACCAGTGTCAACCCCAGCTCTGCTCTGAGCTGCCTCCTTTATCCTGATCTTGACCCCTGCTAACCTGGCAGGGTCACTGATTGGGCTCCCCAGCCAAGATCAGTCCAGGTAGCGTTTGATCCCTGACCTCTGACGGCTGATGTTGGCCCTCTGGAAGTGGAATTCCGTGGGCTCCCTGGATGTGTCAGTCTCAGCCTTCTCTGTAGGCTCTGCTGTTCTGGTGTAGATCGGGGGTGGGGGGACCCTGGTGCTGAGCCTGGGTGTGTCCAGGACGGCAGATTCTGGTCCTGTGGGGTAAGCAGCACGGTACTGTAGAAGCATCCACATACCCCACAGGGCCCGGCAAGTGGAAGTTCTCGAAAAGTCAGCAGCATAGCTACAATCTACGTTTGACCGTGTATAACGGAAACCTCAAAATAACGGTCTGGTGGTCAGCTGTTCAGTGCTGGTGTGGCTTTGGGATCTCCAGTGTCCTGGAAGCCTTCTGCCACTCCTCTCTGCCATCCTGGGGGATGCAGTTGCCATGCTCAGGATAATCTCGTGGCTCAAGGAGGCGGCTAGAGTGTCAGCTATCACATCCTTATTCCAGGCATCATGGCAGGAAGGAAGAGGTGGAGGGACTGGAGGGAGAATTGAGGGTGAATCGCAAGACCCAGCTGTCTCCTGTGGGGAGGGGAGAAACCAACTTCCTCTTGTTTTCCGTGGGCCAGAACCGAGGTCGCGTGGCTGCACCAGCTGCAGGGAGTTGGGAGTGCAGCCTTCTGGGAATGTGGGTGCTTCCCTGAGCCAGGCGTGGGTTGGAGATGAAGGAGAAAGCGGGGGGTGGCTCTGGGTAGGGCAGGCGGTCTCTCATGTGCCTTGTCTGTCCTGATGCATAGTCAGCAGTGATGTTAACAGTCTCTGACACCTCAGTGTCCCCTGGGCTGGCTCATGCTGTTCTTTCCTCCAACAGCTCCATCTGGGCAGGGACTTGACAGAGGCACAGCTCTTGGAGGCCAGGGTGGGAGAGAGCACTTCCAGACCCCCACTCTGTCTCTCTGAGCTGTGCACATCTTCCTTCTGACCTGGAAACCTGCTTCTGGGGCCACTGAACACCAGGGCCTGGCCTCACTCTCTAAAGGCTCCATAAACTCAGGATCAGCTAGGATCGACTGGGTTATGCTGCCTTGACGAGCAGCCCCGATGTCAGTGGCTTAAAGCCACAAACACTGATTTCTTGGCTTGTACTCTGTGTCCACTGGGTGTGACCAAGGGGCCTCCTGCTCGTGGTGGTCACTCAGGGACCCTTCTGTCACCATGGCTGCGGCAGAGAGCTGGGGAAGTGCCTGTGCCCAGTCCTTCAAGTGTCCACCGGCTGTGGACATCAACTTTTGCTGCCCCTGGCCATGCTGTGTTTCAAGTGGGGTGATGGGGCGGGAGTGAGCCTGCCATTCACCTGGGCGGAGAGGGACCTCCCTGAGTTAGAAATTTCAGCCCTCAAAAACCAGTAGGGTGGGCCTCCCAGAGGCCTGAATTGGTTTCTCTTGACCCCAAGATGCAGGGGACGCAGCAGTGAGGGACCTCCCAGGGGAGGGGGCGCACTGCTGGGGGTGCAGTTGGGGTGCAACTGGGGGTGGCTTGGCATCCGCCGTTCCCTGGGCCTTCACCCTGTCCGGAGGCTCAGGGAGACTGTCCTCTATCACTGTCCGCAGATGAACAACTCGGACTCGGGGGTCTTCACGGTCTTCACAGGGGTCAAGGACTTCAGCAGAATTCACCTCGTGGACAAGTGGAATGGGCTGAGCAAGGTGAGGACCGTGGGCGGCCCCAGACTCAGGGTATGGCAGGACAGGTCCCTGGGGACCCTTCTTGAAGCCTGGGCAGGGGCAGCTGTCCCCCAGGAAGGACATACTCAGGGTGGGGGTATCACCCGTGGTGGGTGAAGGCTGTGCTGTGGAGGACACGGCCCTTGCTTTGCCTGATTCTTCATGCACAAGGAATGTTTTTGAAACATCTCCCCCGAAACACTAAAAATAAAACCAAGGCGTATATTGAACCCACGTTAAACTCACATGATACCTAGTGTACATGACATCGCCCTTGATGCCCGAGGCCCTGCAGTCTCCGCTGTCCCTCCCAACCACAGAGGAACCCACGAGCCCACGGTGGCCGTTGGGGACAGTCTTCCTGTTTGTTCTCACCCCTCGCATGCCTGTCTGGACCCAGAGAAACGTGATTTTGCTTCTTTGAACACAGTGGGTCATCTCCTGCGCAGGTCCTGCAGCTTTGGCCTGTGATTTCAGTGGTCCCCCTGGTGACCGCCGCAGAGACTCGGGTCCTGGTGGCGGGATAACCATGGCTCATGAATGCCGTGAACATCCTTTGTGATTGTTTTTTTTTTCAATCTACAACATGGGCGAGCACACGGGGGAGGGATTTCCAGTTGTCCAGAGGGTGGGGACTGAGTGGCTGGTTTGGGTCCGAGCCTTGTTCCCGGGAGAGTCCGGGCCGCCCCATTAGGATCTTGAACGGGCGGCCATGTTCCTCCATTTGCCTGTCTTTACGAGACGTCTGTCCACTTCCACTGGGGCAGGGAGAGGCGGGGGGCGGGCACGTTGCACAGAGGATGTCACCGGGTCCCCAGCAGAGTTATGTGGTCAGCATCTGTGAGGGTGTGGTCGGCCCTGGGGCCCGAGTGGCCGTGCCTGGGCTGGGGCCGGTGCAGTGTGCACCTCCGGAGTGCTCCCCGCGGCTGTCTGAGTGGCCGGTCCAACCTCGCTCCTCACAGGTCAACTTCTGGCATTCGGATCAGTGCAACATGATCAATGGAACTTCCGGGCAAATGTGGGCACCCTTCATGACCCCCGAGTCCTCGCTGGAGTTCTATAGCCCTGAGGCTTGCAGGTAACCCCGCTCCTCTGGCCCTGTGTCCCCTGCTCTGCAGCCGTCCAGCGGCCCCGGCTGTGGGCTGAGGACAGCTGTGGCCTCCTACGGCCCTTTTCCAGGTGCTGCCAGATCTGCTGGCCCGTCCCGGCCACTCTGGGAATTCACGAGGGCACCCTTGACTCTCTGCCTCCTGTCACACCAAGGAGCCCTGCTCCGCACCAGGTGTGGGACGGGATGGCAAGAAGGACACAGTCCCTGTGCCCTGGGTGGTCACTTCCTGTCAGGGGACTCAGGCCAGTGCACAGAATGTCACAGTAGAGTGCTTTTGCTGGGCTTGTGTGGCTGCTTTAAAAATAGAACCTCAGGGCTGGGCTGGGGCTCAGCAGCCGAGCACTCGCTAGCCCAGGTAGGCTCTGGGTTCGATCCTCAACATCACATAAAAGTAAATAAAGGTACTATGTCCACCTACAGCTAAAGAAAGCTAAGAAAAAAATTAGAATTTTATTTATTTATTTTTTTGTGGGCTGGGTATTGCACCAAGAGCCTCGTGTGCTGGGCGCGCGCTGTACCCCTGAGCTACACCACAGGCCCCAATAGAACACGCTGCAGTACCCAGGACCCAGCCCAGGGGGCGCTCTCCCCCGAGCTGTCCCTGCAGGCCTTTTTATTCTTTGAGACGGGGTCTTGCTCAGTGGTCCAGGCTGACCTCGAACTTGGGGTCCTCCTGCCGTAGACTTCTGAGTTGCTGGGATTGTAGGTGGTTATCAAAACCACCACACCCGGCTGGAATCTTAAACGAGAAAAGTTGCAAGAAAGTGCGAGTTACCCGTCTACCCTTCCCCAGCGGTTGGCCAGCTCTCCGTCACTGCAACAAATGTGCCAGTTAATCACTCTGGAAAGGGAAGAGGTCTATTTGGGTCACCGTTGGGGAAGCTGCAGTCCATGGAGGGTCAGCCCTGTGACGAGGCAGCACTGTGTGTGACAGAGCAAGACTCCCACCTCATGGCCCGGGAACTAAAGAGAGAAAGAGGAAGAATCTGGGGTCCCAAGGTCAGGGCACACCCCCAATGGCCTGGAGACTCCCACTAGGCCCCGCCCCTTGAGGGTTCCAGCACCTCCCAGTAGCGCCACCCCTGGGGTCCACCTTCAGCACCGGGCGCTGATGGACGGGTTCCCACCACAGGCCCAGGTGCCCCAGCTCTTTCTCTGCCACCCCAGCTGCTGTGCCATGTGCCACCTCCCCTCGGGTTATCTTCGCCCTCCACCGCTGAGCACAGGGTGCAGACCGAGTGCCCCTTGGCACCTGAGTACCCAGGGTGTTTTCTCAGAGAAGGGACATTATGTGACCTCTGTTATCAAAACCAGGACCTTCTCCATGGACCAGGTGGGACTGGCTGACCTGGGGCCGTCC